AGGCATACAAATAGTTCCCAAAGCAGCTATTATTTGGCCAATTAGATGCTTAGAAGAAAATATATTTTTTGAAAGACAAAATTAAGAGGCAAGGGACAGGAGAAAGTGCTAAAGCAATTGTTTCTACCTGTTTTTGAATCCTATCCCTGGCCACCAAAATGCACCACAGTCATATGATTACACTGAAGTTTGAAGATAACCCTGGGTAACTCTCAGGGCCCTCATTCTTTGATCAAATGAGCTCCTGGGGTCCTGGATATAATTCAGAATTTTTGCTCATGTGTACTCAAAGTGATGTTGCAAATATGTTCAAAACCTCTGCAGCTCTGTGAAAAATATCACCTTCGTTCCCTCCCTTTGTTGGTAACACAATGACCAAGTGGACGTGGCAGTTAAGAGGAGCAGGATGGGAACTCTGTGTGATATTTTCAACTACTATTCAAACACTCACTCTCTTTATAACATCTTATTTCCTTAGTCCTAGCTGGTCTGTGAATCTGTGCTTATCTACATGACTGCCTAATAAGCAGATAACCACACACACACACACACACACACACACACACAATGCCTGGAGAAGTATGGCACACTCTGAAGGAAATCAATAAATATCTATTTCATTGGAAATATAATCAAAGTGGGAAAATGTCAAATGTCTTCATATGCATCTGCCACAGGGAGTTACTTGCCCTAGGTTTGCATAGAGGGCATGCTCTGCAAGGACAAACACATACACATACACAGTTAGACACAACTCTAATTGAATTGAGGCCCAAGGCCTAGGATCCTAGCTAATTTACAAGGCTGCTATAGGAAAGACACAATTTTAGGAATGACAGTAAATCTATGCATATAATGCATTCCCACCCTATAAGAGTCAACCCAAGATTGACAATTTGGGGGGTTTTGCTGGTTATTCATTCATTTGTTTGTTTGTTTGTTTTCCCCACTCAGAAGGTATGTTTCCATGGCACCCTGTCAAAAACTTTCTCAGCATTCAAGGAGAGGATAGCAACACAGCTGCCTTTTAGCCAACTTTGTGTATCCTACTGGGAAACCACCCCTTTCTGTAAGACGATGAGGTTTTCAGACATGTCTAAACAGACTAGGTGAATTAAAGACCAATTCCAGACTTGATGTTGCTGAGCTCATCAGCTCCATCTTGCCATCCTGATTGATCGAGGAGATGGGTCTATAGTTAAAGTGGCATAGCACTTTGAGGGGTTAGTCATTAGAGCCCACTGCTTTGTCTTGGGAAGGCAACTTCTTGCTTGGCTAGATTATGGAAGCTAAGGAGTGACGTCAAGATGTTGTCTGGCCAGAATTTGCAGATAACCATAGAACTCTTCTCCTCCATCAGGCATGGATTTAGCCTCCTTTAGTTCCTGCAGTGACACAGGAGCCTCCAAATACCAAATTATTATCAGGCGGTCTTGGGGGAACCTCTGGGCCCTGCAATAAAGTAGACAGACTTGCTATTGGAAAGTGCTCGGGAGCAATTCATCCCTGTTCAGATTGCTCTAAAATCCTGCAAATCATCTCTGGACTTGGTAAATGAAAACTGTCACATAACTCCAGATAGTTGTTGTAAAAGTACTTCAGGGATATAATTTATCATCATCTTTCATTGATCTTATGCATCATTTAAAGAAGTCCAATTTGATCATGTCTTTTGCTTGCTTATTATTTTGTTTGTAATGCAAAGCTATGCAAGTATTGAGGCTGTATTACTTTGAACAAGCCACTTCTGAACACCATCTCTAAATGATGTTTATATTACTGATCTTTAAGAATCACAAAAGGTAGTGAAAAATTGACCAAACCTGACTCACACTGATGTATTCATATTATCCCACTTGCAGTTTTAAACCTTCAACCATTCAAATAAAACAATAAACCCTGTTCTCTATGGGGAAAATGGAGTATTTGATACTCTTAGGCCTGGGCTCCACACAGCCTCCACTATTGCACTATTTCTAATCTAGCCTCATTCTCACATTAATCTGCTAGGTCCCTGTAAGTAATTGAGTTTCTCAAACCTGGCCTGCCTTAGTGCCTGTCACACGATATATTGTGATTATTCCATGATATAACTACTGGACCTCTACAGTGACATTCCCTGAGGACAGGGAATGTGCCATCATTAATGACTGAATCTCTAGTTCCTAATAGTATAAAAGTATTATAGGTAATCAATAGCTATTTATCCAATGGAAATTCAGCATCTAAATTAGATTCTTATAATTTAGTGAAATGAGCCAGAGATCATAAAGCATATGCTGGAGATCAGGCATATATTCTAAAGTCAATATATTGGAATTACTTATAGCTTTGGGAAAGAGATGTAAATTGCTGGTTTGTGGCCCAAACCTCTGATAGATCGACAAGGATGAAGGTGATATACTATCCACATGACATGAGAAAGGTTCTAAACTGTCTCTTGATATCTTTTTTTTTTTTTTCAGATATCATCTGTGCAACTTCTTGGAAGAGTCTCTCTTGGGAGTTATTTAGAAGTTAATTGATTTAAAATATTCAATAAGAATCACCTAAATGAAAGCTAAACTCTCAAAATTTCATGGACCAATAGCAACAGATCCCTCTGCATTACCAGTCCATGCATTTTACAGTGTTTTAATTTCTGGATGACTATGAGCATATGTACAGAAAGAATTCTTTTTGTTAAAAGTTGATTTCTGCTAAAACAAAGTTCTCTAAATCAGTTTAAATTGGGTGATGCGTTGTTAAAAGCATGTTTAATAAATAAACTACTGTGTGGGGAAGTTTGCTAGGAATAAAGCCAAAGGAAAGGGCTGTGAGTCATGTTTACTTGTTAGAAGTTGGCTAGTGATTAGTATCTGAGTACTGGATTGCCACCTCTGGTCAACCTCTGGCCACAATCAAAGGCACAGAATGTTACATGCTATGAAAGAATGCTTCCACAGATAAAGTAGCTGCTTCCCAGAAGCTTATAGACTAACCCATGCAAGACTACAAAAACACGTGCACAAGGTGGTCCTCCTCAGAACAACAGGCAACAGGTACATTGAAGATAAATGAAAAAAAAAAAAAGTATAGAGTAAAGAATGACATTTATGGAAGGGTAAAAGGAAAAGGAGAAAGGTAAATTTCTTCTTCATTCCTACCTCTTTGAAAAGAATATGAGATATATATAAAAATTTCTTCTGGTATCAGATAAGAAGTAATGAGGATATTAATCCAGGAATGGTTGGTTGGGTCAGGGACCCAAGAAGACATTGTAAAGAAGAAACTTCCTTTTAGGATTTCTAAAGGAAGAAAGCACCTCTGGTGGGACCACAGATTCAGCAGCCATCTCGCCCCCTTTCCTCCTGGGAATCTCACCTGCTACTTTTTTTTTGCTTTCTTACTTTCTTGCTAATACATTAATTTTCTCTTATTGAACGTGTTGGAATGATGTTATCTACTTGATTATTTAGCATTATCTTTCCTCCAATGAAAGTGAAAGCAAACTTTGAGGACATGTTAATTTTAGTTAACTTCAATTGTAATACAGCTTCGGGCTAATTGAAGGACATCACATAGTCTGTTCCTGGCTGGGACAGGGGCATCATAATACTCTATTCCTAAGGAGAATAATTAAATCATAAGAGATTCTCCCATCAAAGCATTCTGCTTTGTCTTCTTCCATATTTGCTATTAAGTATGCAGGACATTTCAAGGACATTTGGAGGATGCTTACATCATCAAAGAATGCTCACTTTAAGCAATGCTTCCACTCACCTTGATCACACCATATTGACAATATTAGGATTAATAACAACTTGATTTCAAATAATACCTTTAAGTTCAATAAGCTCAATATTCTTGACACAGTTTTATATTTGTCTTGTAATTACAGATTTATCTAAAACTATGGTAGGACACATAATATCACACATTACAAGCTTTTAATGCTATTCTTTCTAACCCGGAATCCAATTTTAAATATACCCTGGGATAAATGGGAATGAATAGGAAGAAACTACATGTGCATTCTTATATACACACATATTTGGGATTTGTTGCCAAATGTCTTCATCCCATGAGGGTTTTCAGCACAGAGTCAGTCCCAAAGCCTACTTTACAATACTCCTACTTTACCTTGGAGGCAGGGCAGAAGAGTAACATTTAAGACAAAATAAGGACATTCAAATAGAAGATACCCATTCAGTGCCATGGAATCCCTGGGATCTGGGCCATCCAATCCCTTGTGGTTCCTTGTGGACCCTTGATAGTATATGAAGAAGGCCTGCAGTTATAATGGCAAAAGCCTGTTTTTCCACTGTGGTTTTATTTTTGTTGTTGTTGTCTTTAAAGCTGTGTTCCTGCCTTATTTTACTTTATATTTGGCCAGTGGCTCAGAAGATAGGATAAGGGGCTCTGAAAAAATACCAAGCTTGCCAATGGAGGGTAATGGGTTAATCTAGCTCTGAAAAATAAAAGTCTACTTCACATGCATATCATCTGCTGCAATGTCTCTTTCCTTTCATGGCATCACAAAAGGCCTCATGCTGGAAACTAGTACTGAACAAAGAATACACAATGACCCAAATTGATACCACCTGTGTGCAATACAGTACTGCCCCAACTACCTCATGTGCATGTTTTAATTACTTTCAATAAGCCAGATTTAAATTACATCAATTACCTGTCATCTATAACTGAAATATGTGCATTCTAATGATACTTCTGGTTTCTGTCTCTATCCCTTTCAAGATAAGCATGCCTCAATTCCAACTTCATACTGACAAATGGTTTTGGAAAATGGATTCCAATAGAAGTTGTTATCTGCCCACTGTTCCAGCAGGAGACACACCTTAGGAATTCTGTAGCCAACAAACTAAAGGATCTAGTCCACAGGCCAAAGTCTGCAAGAATCCTGACATTTCACCAGCCCCACCCCTCCATCTGCATTATCGGGAACTCTGATAAACACACTTCTTGCAAATAGGCCAATAAGTACAAACAGCTGTACTTACATGTGTCTGGCTTGAGCTGGCTGTTGGTGATGCCAAAGTACTGGGGATTTTCAATGACAGGGATCTTGGTCATTCCAATAATGACGGCATCAGGGCCACCTTCTGAAGAGGATGGAGTGTTACTCCCATTGGAGATGTGATGGAGGGGGCTGGCAGAGTCATCATCATTGCTGATAACTGAAGCTGGGCCTGGAGTTGGAAAGATAAACATATTGTCCTGTAATTCAATGACTTCAATGGAGCAATAATTCATATACATTCAATATCCATTTCAAGTTCACAGAGTTGTACAATCATTACTATAATCTAATTTGGGGACATTTTCATCACCCTAATTAGCCCTTTCCCCCTATTCTCCCATTCCCATTCCTAGGCATGTACAAATTTACTTTCCATCTCTGGATTTACATACTTTGGCATTTCATGTAAATGAGATCTTTTGTATCTGACTTCTCTTATGTAGTATACCACTTTTTAAAATAAGAGAATGGGGATATCTGAAGTCTTTATGTCATTTCTTTCCTTATTTTGTTTTTCTGGCTTTTTGTTTTCTGTGGTGCTGGGGATGAAACCCAGAGCATTGAGCATGGTAGGCAAGTGCTCTACTACTGAGCCACATCCTCAGTCCCTGGAACGCAGAGTCTTGAGCATGCTAGGAAAAGTGCTCTGCCACTGAGCTATATTCCAGCCCTAGTATAACATTTTTTAAGATTCATCCACAGTATATTGTGTGTCAGTACTTCCTTCCTTTTTATTGCTGAGTAATATTCCATTTTATGAAAAAAGTTTTTTATCCATCCATCCATCCATAAAAGGACATTTGAGCTATTTGGATTATTTGGCTATTAGGAATAGTGCTGCTATGAACATCATGTGATGATTTGTGTTGGACACATGTTTTTATTTCTCTTGAGTAGAATTGGTTGGTCATATGGAAGCTCTATGTTTAATATTTGGAAGAACTAACAAAATGTTTTTCAAAGTGGCTGCACCATTTTATGTTCCCACTATCAATGTATGAGGGTTTCAATTTCTTCACTTACTTCTCCTGTAATTCAGTATGCAGCTTTTCTCTGTTCTGTGAGTATCTTCAGAATACTCTATTACTGAAACTCCCAGTGAGAAGCCATGATTCACTTCACATGGCACTGAAAGTTGTGCTGGGAGTTTGGATATCTGAGTTTCCCATCTCTACTCCTTGAACTAGTCACCTACCTTCTTTGTGCATCTGCTTACATTTGTGAAGCCTGCAAAATAATATCTGCTTGTTATTTTATGATACTTGACTGAGACTAATGACATGAAAATGCATTATAAATTTGAACATGCTCCATTACTATGAATTAATATTTGGTATTCATAAGTAAACTTTAACTGGAAGACTAGAATTGCATGGGACTATCTTACCATTAAGTTCCTATTGCCTTTATATTCTGTGACTGCCTGCACCATTTTAGTCTACAAAATACCTTGATAATAATAATGGATCAATCCCATGGTGAAGTTATCTACTTTGCCTTTAGTTTTAAGATTATTCATAATTACTTGGGTGCCCATTGTTTTAAAGAGATAATCATAGCATTTTTCATACAAGACTTAAACTTTTAGTCCAAAACCTCAGGATGTATATGTATTTACTATATCTTATCTAAACAATTTATCCATTGACCAGTAAACTCAAACTGCTTGCAACCAAAAATAAATTTTCAGAGATAAAGGTCAATGTGAAGTCTTCAAAACAGTTACAATCATTCATGATGGGTACTCCATAGGTAGGAAGTAGACAAAGCCTCTTAGACCTAAATTATACACAGTCTGAAGTGTACAAAATGAGTCTAATGTCCTGTGGAAGCAGAGCACTGGCCACAGCTACTGACATAAGCCCCAAGAAAGGAGGAGAGCAAAGATAAGCAAAATCAAATACCCAGCCAAGGCAAATGCCACATTCAGGAAGAGAAAGTCTGAATTATTATTTGCTATGCAAGAAAATGTGTTTCAACCAAACCTGCCCCCACCCCCAACCCCCAGGGTGCACCTTCCTGTATGCTCTACCTTTTCCTTCACACATAATTATTCCAGTGAAAAGCTTAGCTGTTCTAAAAACAAACATTGTTTTGTCAGGGGCTTTGGTACAGTTGTGAATCCCCTATGCAATATAATGATAATCCATCCCACAACCTCCGAGATCTGTGTTTCCTCCTCATAGGGGGATTATCACAGTTCGTAGTGATAACAATTGGACATTCCCCAGCTAGTTATGTCTTAAACAAACTATGCAGGAGGAAGCCAACTGCTATTATAGGTAATTTTTAAAGTATTCTCTCAATGGGATGTGCATTTAAGTTGCCTTTAATGATATACTCTGGCTTAATTCTGCAAACAAGTCCTCACACAGCCAATTTAGAAGGCACAGAACAATCAAAGCCAAGGCAAGCCCACATGTTGTGCTCATCTTGTGCCTTGCTAACCTAAGTCAGCAAAGAGCAAAAATCCTGCCAAGAATAGCTATAAAGACAAGTTGTTTCTAACCTCCCTGACCATCCCTGTTTTAAGGTCTGCTTTTTAACAGGCCTCAATCATCCAGATTCTAGCTGGCATTGGGAAATGGAGATGCATTCGGCTAATGTTTCTGCATGTTGTCCATAGAACCGTTCTGTCACTCGTTCCCTCGATTACTCCCCAGAGTAGCTGCTCCCTTCTGTAAGGTTACCAAAGCATGCAACTCAGGGAGCTCCCACAGAGGAGTTGCAGTCAAGGCCGCACATTTCTCAACAGATTCCTGGTTTCACCTTTACCCTAAGAAATGCAGGAGTGGTCATTTTCAAAAAATGTCACAGGTTGTCAGAAGGCCAGCAATATTTCCTGTTGGAGCCCCAGCAGTGATTAAAAATATATTGACCCCAGTTGATTTCTTCTCTGGCCCAGGTCAGGATATGAACATTATAGTAGCTTTCAATCATTTTTTGAGGAGGTTAATACCTAGAAGACAATTTTGAAATTCCTCCAGGAATTCAGGCTCTGAATTACCTGCAAATACACAATGAAGCCCTCATCTGAGTCCAAACAAGGGACTTGCTCTCGGCTTCACTTTCTCCATTCAAGGACACATCTCCTGACGTTTCCAATTAAAACCCCGAACTCAACTCATGTAATATATTGCAAGGGAATGAGCTCTAGTTTGGGGGTGGGGATTAAGCAATTAAACATAGAAGTGGTATAAAACATCAAGGTAATTTTTCAAAAGCCTTTTCACTTTGCAGAAAGTCAGTGTTGACAAATCAGAGCAACACAAACCTCAGCAATTCATCAAGTAACATATTAATTCAAGTGCTGTTTCCTTCATTATTGATGTTCCAAAACCTGGAGATTGATTTGGCTGGCAAGGTTGCAAGAATTAAGCCCATTTTTCTATGAACATTTTGAAATAATGGAATGCAGAGCATAGCAAAGTTGGGAGGGGGAAAAAGCTCTCCATGGGGACAATGAATGTCTATATAATTTGACAGCTGCCTGTCTGTGCATATCACAGGATGTGTCTTTGTGTGTCTGTGCATGTATTTGAGCAGACACCAAGAAAAGTCAGAAGAGTCAGAGGCACATCGCAGCATGTTACAAAAAATTCATATGAGAACTTGAAAAAAAAGTCTTATAATATTAATATAAAGTTTTAAATTGCTGGGTATGTGCATACTTGAGTTTGGAGTAGATAGTTCTAATGACTGAACTGACAAATATGAGTTACACCTGGAAACATTTTTAGCCCATTTTTTTTAATACATCTTAGGTGCAAAGAAGCATTTTTTTTCTCTTATCTGAGATGCTTGGTAATGTATCCTTCACATGTGACTTTTCAGATATTTCTAAGCCTAATATAAACTTATTTTCCAGTGACAAAATTAAAGAAATGTCAGCGCAGCCTGGTAACCCGGGGAGAGGCCCGCCCCACGCCCACGTGGAGAGAGAAAGGCACCCATGCTGGGGTTCCTTCTTCACCAAAGTGTGGCTCCACAACCCAATATCAGGGTACACAGAGGCTACAGACTGCCACTGCCACAAAACTGGGATACCGCCACTTCTATTAAGGGACAAAAATAAGGACCTGGTAAGACATCACCACGGTCCCTGTGAGCCTGGCTGCACCAGAGGTATCTCTACTAGGGGTGCTTATAGTTATTCTGTTGCTGAGGTAACAGGGAGTCTTGCATGGGGTTGCCTCTCTCTTTTTTCTCCTACTAACAGCCAACTTTTATGATGACCCTTTCACTAGTCATATAATCCAATACCTCTATAATCTCACATCCTACCTCATAAACATCTCAGCCAACCCCCATCCCCTCTTTCTACCATTAGAAACTGTAAACTATTACACAAACTTATTGACTATATGGTAGAAGATAACTAAACTCATCATTTCTGATTATAGTGACAAAACTGTTAATGTAAAAATGAAGCTAACTGATATATGACTGCATGTTGGGTACACTGAGTGCTGTCATATTGATCTCCCCTTTAAAGGTGAGGTATTGGTAACCTGTAGAGACACTATAAGACAATAGGGCAGAAGCTCTAATACCTTGGATCTACACTGCAAGAGAGGAAAACACATAGACATTATTTAAAAAAAAGGAGGAATATGCCCCAAACAAACCAAGATACTACAATAATAGAATCCATAGATAGTGCAATAGATGAAATGTCAGAGAAGGAGTTCAGAATATACATTACTAAAATAATATGGAAATTATTACCTAAATAAGCAGATACAGGCAAAAATAGATCACTCCAAAGAAGAAATAAGAGAACAAATACAAGTTGAAAGAGATAACTTCAAGAAAGAGATAGAGATTCTGAAAAAACAAACAAACAGAAATCCTTGAAATTAAAGAAACAATAAGCCAAATAAAAAAGCTCAATAGAAAGCACCACCAACAGACTAGATCACTTGGAAAACAGGACTTCAGACAATGAAGACAAAATAAACATCTTGAAAATAAAGTTGACCTCACAGTGAAGATTGTAAGAAACCATAAACAGAACATCCAAGAATTATGGAATACCATCAATAGACAAAATTTAAGATTTATTGGGATAGAAAAAGATTCAGAGATTCAAACCAAAAGAAAGCATAATCTTTTCAATGAAATAATATCACAAAATTTCCCAAGCATGAAGAATGAATTGGAAAATCA